ACGAAAAACAAAATTAGTCAAAACATAATAGAAAAAACATCCCCCGACTACTTGTTTTAACCACTATTCAATATTCCCCCTGTAGAGGGACACGCCCGATTTAAGTTTACTCTGGCCCTCCTCCTCCTCATCCTCCTGTTGAGCCACAGCCGAGTGAATACCCGACCCCACATCCCAGAGGGACCCTGGGACCTTGGAGCTGCGTCCTCCTGTTTCCCCTCCGTCTCCTCCTCCTCCTCCTCCTCCTCTTCCTCCTCCTCCTCCTCCTCCTTTGGCATGAAGGGAAGGGGCTGGGCCCCGGCGCTTTTTTCCCCTGGACCAGCTTCTCATCCCGAGCCGCCGTCTGACGGCGCCTGAGCCTGGGGAGGCCCCTGGGAGACTGAAGACGTCAAAAACCCATACTATCTCTCCTCCTCGTCCCCTCCTCCTCCTCCTCCTCCTCTCCTCCTCCTCCCTCCCTCCTCCTCCTCCTCCCTCCCCCTCCCTCCCCCTCCTCTCTTCCTTCCTTCCTTCCTTCCTTCCTTCCTTCTTTCCTTCCTTCCGTCATGCATGCATGCATGCATGCATTCACGCATGCATTCATTCATTCATTCATTCATTCATTCATTCATTCATTCATTCATTCATTCATTATTTCCTTATCTTCCTCTTCCTCGTCCTCCTCCTCCTCCTCCTCCTCATCTTCCTCCTCATCTTCCTCCTCCTCCTGCTACTGCTGCTCCTCCTCCTCCTCCTCCTCGTGTTCCTCCCCCTCCCCTCCGACTCTTCCCTTCCTTCCTTGCTTCAGTCCTTCCTTTCCTCCTTCATTCATTCACTCATCAATTCATGCATTCATTCGTTAATTCGATAATTCATGCATTCTGTATGTCCTTGATTCATTCATTCATTATTTCATTCCTTCCTTCCTTCATTCATTCATTCATCCGTGTATTCATTCATTCATTCATTGATTCATTAATTAATTAATTCATTCAGTCAGTCAGTCTGTCAGTCAGTCAGTCATTCCTTCTTCCCTTACCCTCCTCCTCCTCCTCCTCCTCCTCCTCCTCCTCCTCCTCCTCCTCCACCTCCTCCACCTCCTCCCCCATCCTCCTCCTCCTCCTCCTCCTCCTCCTCCTCCACGAGCGCGGGCTCAGCTCGCCTCCTGAGGGCCGCGGGCTGACGCGCTGGACGGCTCCCCAGCCGCGGCTCCCCACGCTTCCCCCGCCGCCCTCACAGCACTGCGTGCTCGAGGGCGAGGAGGAGGAGGAGGAGGAGGAGGAGGGGGAGGAGGAGGAGATGGAGGAGCAGGAGGAGGAGGAGCAGGAGGAGGAGGAGGAGGAGGAGGCGAACGAGAAGGCGAACGAGGAGGAGGAGGAGGAGGAGGAGGAGGAGGAGGAGGAGGAGGAGGAGGAGGAGAACGAGGAGGGAAGGAGGAGGAGGAAAAGGACGGTGAATCCGCGGCGCGCTGGCCGACCGCGGTGGTCGGCCGCCGAGCGGCGGGCGCTGCCTGCGGTCGCTGCCCACGCGCGCGGCCCGCGCAAGGCGGCGTCTGCGAGCGCCCGCGGCGCCGTGGCGCACAGCGGCAACCGCCCTGCGGCCCTGCGGTGCGCGGTGCAGCGCGCGCCCACGCGCGCTGCCCCGGCGCAGGCGCTGCCTGCGGTCGCTCGCGGCGCCGCGGAGCGCAGCGGCAACCGCCCCGCGGGGTCGTGGAGCTGACGAAGAGCGTTGCATTGACGTCGCGCGGACGTCTGTTCCCTGTGCACGGTTCGGTCTCGTTTTTATTTTCCCTCGATGGCCCAAGATGTTCTGGCGCTGGCCGCACCAAGAAGAAATACAGATGTGCGAGCAATGCCAAAATGTTTATCCTGGAAATGTTTATCCTGATGCTGCTGCCCTTTCGACGGGTTCTGGAGGTCAGGCTGCTCAAGGCGCTGATCTTCCCGGCCATTGCACGGGCAAACGCACGGGCAAGTCCGACTGCGAGGAAGAGATCTAGACGCCTGGCATCGCACCACAATGCCACAATCGCGGCCCAGACGTCGCGTCTCTTCTAGCTGATCCTCCAACCAACGGCAAGAGCAAAAATAACTGCAAGGAGAAGGGCGCCCAAGATACTGGTAGCGTTGCTCCAGATCACTGGGCTCCCGAAGGCATTCTCGAGACTCCTGCACATGATGTACTTCGTGATCATCGGCCCGATTCTTTTGCGCTAGCTCCTTCCGCTGATCATTGGGCCGTCGGCGTCCACCCTTGGAGCAAGGGCAAGAGCATGGACAGAGGCGACCTGACGCGCGATCAAGACGCCATTCGCACTGCTCGATGAGCTACCACATCTGGCCCACTGCTTGACATTACTGACAAAGGCACGGGCCACGGCAAGGACAAAGTCAAGGACACAGTCAAGGGGCAGGGCATGGTCACTCAGGCTTCCCCCTCCGTAGGCACAATGAGAAGCCTTAGTCCTGTGGAAGACGTTCGGGATGAATTTGCACAGACAACCTCCGCCACAATCATGCCAGGAATATGCCGATTGCTGGCCCTTGGAGCCACACACGGAGCGAAAGCATCCAGGAAGCACGCACGGATAACACTGCGATGCCACTGCGTACCCAGCATACCGAAGCAGACGAGAATCCAGGCGTCGCCCGAATCCCCACAGGAGACGCAGCGGCTATGCTTCGGACATGCGGGGTGCTCCGCTGCGTGTGCTGGGCTCCTGCAGGGGAAGGAACCGAGCAGGGCGCCCCCCCCGGGGCCGGGGGGCAGCCACCCCGGCGCCCACACCGCCTCCGCCGGCGGCCTGACGCCATCAGCCGCTCCAGCAGCGGCGGCCGCACGACAGGGACGAGGAGGAGCGACGGGCCCCGGAGCACTCCGAGGCCCAGCGCCCTGCCCAGGCGCCCCAGCAGGAGTGCGATGCTCGCGAAGATCGTGGATGCCATGACAATGGACACCCTAGCGGTCCGATCATCGAACTGAAGATGTGTGTTAACATGTTTACACACGTGTTCTAAAAATGTGTTAAGCATGTTTTAGCATGCTTAAGACATGTCTGAAACATGGATTCGACATGTGGAAATCGTTTGGCAGCACGCTTCCCCTCCATCGATGAACTTCCACAACGCGAAGATGGGCTGGGCCAGAGCGGGGCACCTCGCCATCATCAGCGGCACGCCCAGCACCAGAAAACCCGGCCTCGCCCGCGGAGCTGCAGCGCTCGACACGCGGCTGCACGGGGACCCGTCGTCTCGGGCAGACCAGGGGGACGCAGCGGCACGACGAGCAGAGCACGCAACCGCAGGTGCAGCTGCTCCCGACCTCGTGGCCCGAGGCTCGGCACGAACTCGATCGCGTCGGCGCAAAAAGAGAAGGCCTGACCAGCAATAGGCGAAGAGCCCCTCCTCGCCTCCAGCCTGGCACCCCGCTGTGCGCAACGAAGCTGGGCAGCCGAAGCGCGCTCCCCGTCGACGTCCACCGCATCTGCGTGCAGCACGACGTTCCTGAAGAGCACGTCGAGCCACTTCGGCTCCTCCACGTTGACGAGGGCCAGGATAGCTGGACCTCCGCGCTCAGACGTAAACCCACCTCCGAGCTCCCCACGATGAGCGCCAGCGCTTCATCGGCCAGCTGCAGCCGTGCGAAGAGCTTGTGCACCTCGCCGGAAAGACGATACACGAGTCGATAAGCACAAACACGTGCCCGTGACCATGGCGAAGCACGCGACGAAAAACAGGCGCCACCGACAGGGGCGCCTCCCGCAGCCTCCGCCTCTCCCAGCTCGGCCGAACCGACAGCAGGCAGCCCAGAGCACAGGGACGCCGACATGCGTAGTAGAGCCAAGATGGGAAGAGGAAAGGCCTGAGCCATCATGGCTCAAGCCAAATCAACGGACTAGGTTGCACCTCTGAGATGGGTGGCGAGGTCAAGCTCATACTTCAAGCAATTAGCGTTAAGCTTGCTAGCGTGCCTGTCTATTAGAGAAATTGGGGATTGACGTTAACCCACTCCCATACAAAACTCCTCATCCTCATCCTCCTCCTCCTCACAGCAGGACAACACTGCATAAGCATAAACTGTCGACGGTCCGCGCGGAGCTCCAAATGTTGTGTTTACGCCATATCTATCATTCGATCCCTCCCTGCCCTCACCCAAACAAAACAACTCCTCCTCCCTCCTCCATCCCTTGAGGGTCAACGATAGGGGGAGGGGAATAGGCATAGGGGGGATGCATGTCGATTTCTCGATGCAGGCAGGGAGGGTGCCCTGATATCCACGTTGCGTCGTCGATGCCTCACCGATTTGTCGGCCATTCAAGGCCTATGCACCCCCCCCCATGTGCCCATCCCCTCCTGCCAGGGGGTGTGGAGCGAAGGACGGAGGAGAGGAGGGCGGAGGACGAGGACGACGAGAAGGAGGAGGACGACAAGGAGGGGGGGGAGGAGGGAGGAGGGAGGAGAAGGAGGAACAGGAGGAAGAGGAGGAGGAGGGAGGAGGGAGGAGGGAGGAGGGAGGAGGGAGGAGGGAGGAGGGAGGAGGGAGGAGGGAGGAGGGAGGAGGGAGGAGGAGGAGGAGGAGGAGGAGGAGGAGGAGGAGGAGGAGGAGGAGGAGGAGGAGGAGGGGAGGGAGAGGAGGAGGAGGAGGAGGAGGAGAGGAGGAGGAGGAGGAGGAGGGGAGGAGGGAGGAGGAGGAGGAGGGAGGAGGAGGAGGAGGAGGAGGAGAGGAGGAGGAGGAGGAGGAGGAGGAGGAGGAGGAGGAGGAGGAGGAGGAGGAGGAGGGAGGAGGAGGAGGGGAGGAGGAGGAAGGGAGGAGGAGGGAGGAGGAGGGAGGAGGAGGGAGGAGGAGGAGGAGGAGGAGGAGGAGGAGGAGGAGGAGGAGGGGGAGGAGGAGGAGGAGGAGGAGGGGGCCCTGACCTCTGCTGCCCCTCTCGAGGTTCCCTCCCCCCTCCAAACGCCGGGCAGGAGCGCGCGACCCGCGCAAGCCGCGGGGGGGCGGGGCAGCGCGCGGCGGGCGGCGGGCACGGTTGTACGCGTAGGCGCCCTTCGCGACGGCCCCCGCGCCCAGCGCGGCGCCTGCGCGCACGGGGGGGGGGCAGGGGGGCGAGCGGAGGCGGCGGCAGGCTGGCGGCGCGCACAGGAGGGGGGGGGGCGGCGGGGCTCGATCGCGGGGGGAGGGGGGGAGCGGCAGCGGCGGGGCTCGACGGGGGGGGGGAAGGCTGCCTATGGAGTCGAAGAAGAGAAAACACATGCAGAGGCATAACCTCTCGACGGACGGCGGGCGGCGGGGCTCGGGGGGGGGGGAGGCTGCCTATAGAGTCGAAGGAGAAAAAGCAACACGCAGAGGCATGACCTTTCGACGTTCCCCACGCGGAGGTCTGGGATCTGCGCCGGGGCCCCCTGGCGGCGCCTCCGGCGCCGCCCATGGAGCGCTCCGCGCGCCAGGGAGGGGGGCCCAGCCCGAGTCCAAGAACTCCGCACAGACCGTCGAAGGTTCATGTTTCTATGTTTTTCCCTTCCTCGATCGGAGGAGGCTGCTTCTTCGAAGGCGCCGGCCCCCGGCCCTGCACCCGCAGGCCAGGCCCGCGCCTTCTGGGAGCCGGCCTCTATCTGAGAAGCCTGCTCCCCGTTCTCTCATTGCCCCCGCCAGGGGCGCGCCGCCGAGCCGGCCTCTATCTGAGAAGCCTGCTCCCCGTTCTCTCATTGCCCCCGCCAGGGGCGCGCCGCCGAGCAGGGGAGGTGACAGTCGCACGAACGGAAAAGCTCGAAGGTCCGCGAGGGTCCCTCCGAGCTTTTATCGCATGCCATCTTCTTCTGGTTGTTCGCCCCCCAGCCCCTCGCCCCCCCCAGGGGCGCGCCGTCGAGCAGGGGAGGTGACAATGGCACGAACAGAAAAGCTCGAAGGTCCGCGAGGATCCCTCCGAGCTTTTACCGCACGTCACTGCTTCTGGTTGTTCCCCCTGGAGAGCCAACAAAAAAATCCCAGCTGAGAAGGTGGGCAGGCCGGGGAGGCCTGCAGTTATAGGGGGGCCATACTCTGGCACTCTGGCAGGTCGGGAAGCAGGCGCGCTGGATGCTCGTCCAGAGGTGTCTGCCCCGACAGGGGCCGCTGCCGGGCCCCGCGGCAGTCAAGACACGGCTCGGGCCGGGAAGCCCGTCCCGGGGAAGAGAACGAGGAGAGCTCTTCCGCCCGTCGTCCCCTCCTCCCCCCCCTTCGTCCCCTCCTCGCCTCCTGCCGCCCCCCCTCGCCTCCTCCTCGTCTCCTCGCCTCCTCCCCTCCTCGCCTCCCCTTCCTCGCCTCGCCTCCTCGCCTCCCCTCCTCGCCCCCCCGCCTCCTCTCGCATCCCCCTCCTGGCCCCCCTCACCTCGCCTCCCCTCCTCTCCCCCCTCTCCTCTTCCTGCCTCCCCTCCTCCCCTCCCCTCCTCGCCTCCCCTCCTCGCCTCCCCTCCTCGCCCCCGCTGCCTGGCTTTTCGCCCCCGGCAGCCTGAGGCGTCCGCCCCGCCTCCTCGCGCCCACTCTGCTCGGTGCCGCGCGCCCTGGCCTCTCCTCGACCCCCCGCTCCCCTCGTCCGCTCCTCCTCTCTCGGGGGCGTCCAGGAGGGGTGTGTCCAAGAGGGGGGGTGCTAATCATGGGCCGAGGCATGTGCGCAGACCAGGGGGGGCCAGGGAACGCATTGAAATAAGAAGTGGGGCCATGAAATCTGGGGAGATGTCATGGCTCCCGCCATGACATCCCCCTCTAGCCGTCGCCCCCCTCTTGGCCGCCCCCGACCGCTCGGAAGCATCCAGGGGGTCTGAGCCGGTCGGGCCCCGAGAGCCTCGGCCAACGCGGGGGGGGAGGAGGGCAGACCCCCGCTCGCTCAAGAAATCGGTGCCTGCACCTTTCCCGGAGCCCCACTGTCGCAGTGCTTCCCCCCGGACCTGTTCTTGAAGGTACCCATGCCCCCCGCGGGGCCCGGGTGGAGAAACCAAAAGGTACCGATGCCGCTACTCCCCGACCTCTCCCGGAGTGCGGTCTGACCAGAAGTTCGAAGCGAATCCGCCAACAACTTGGGTTCATCGGCGTGTGAAATGTTTCCCCCTCCCCAAACCCCTCCCCTGGGAGCCCTGCCCCGTCGAATCGGAGGGGGGGGTCCCCCGGAATCGGGGTGAGAGGGCCCCAAGAGGCCATTGGGGCGGTCCACGAGGGCCACGAGTCGCTGAAAGATCGATCCAAAACGCCCAGGCTGGCCTCCAGACGGCCCAAGAGGCCCCCAAGACGCCCCAAGAAGCCCCCAAGAGGCGCCCCAAGAGGGCCTCCAGAAGCAAAAATCGTCCCATCCCATTTTGGGAAAACGTGCATTTGTTGCACATTCGCCTCTCGGGCGTTCACACCATTCCAGACGGCCCAAGAGGCCTTCAAGTTCGCCCCAAGACGGGCCAAGAGGCCTCCAAGAGGGCTCCAAGACGACCCAAGAGGGCCCGAAGACGGCCCAATAAGCCCCCTAAGACGGCCCAGGAGGGCCCCAAGACAGCCCCAAGAGGG